CGCGCCGTTATATTAAAATTTAATCCTTACTCGGCTAATCGATTAGTTTTTTACTTAGCATTCCTGCTTCCTTCCAAGGAAAATTGATAAACAGTCCGAGTCATTTATCACGCGAACGTTGAAGCTTATAACCTCGCTTTATCGTCGTTAAGACGAACGATTCCGCGAGGATAAACTTTCCCTTCGTTTCATCTTTAAACTTCGAAACGCGCGAAACAAAAATCTCTCTCTCTCTCTCTCTCCGTCCAACACGAACTTTTAATCTCTCACTCTCTTACTCGCTCGATCCTCGATCTTCGATGTTTCTTCTCGAACTTCGTACCCTTCGATCCCGTGGCAATAAGTAATTCTGTGCTCCTCGATCGAATAAAAATCCATTCGATCGAATCATATCGCGTGATTAAAACGCGAAGGAAACGCAACGGTAACCCCCGGCCGTCCACTCGAGCACGATGCCCATTTTTCATTTCTGCTCGATTAACCGGCCGGTAAAGGTGGTAAAAGCCAGGCATCGATCGCGGATGACGATGCTCGCGTCATCGTCGAAATTCACGATTGCTTCGAATTTGGGCCGCGTGGCCACCGTGAATTTGGTACACGGGGATAAAATTTCCACAAAATTGCGTGTTTATCACCGCCGCGTTCAACGCTAATGCCCGCATTTCCGGTTTCCCATCGAGCCCCGACGGATAATTCTTTTTACCGGAAGCGGTCCGGCGCCAACGGCCAATACGATCGATCGTAATCGACCTGTGCACGTAGCGCGCCGCCTATCCATATTTTAATACCTTTGTAATTGCATCACATTCGTTATTCGCTCGTTAATAGCTGGCCCATATATCGCCTCTGCATTGTCATAAACCACTGCTCTCCCACCAATCTTTTTTCCGATTGCGATACATATTCGTATACATATCGCGGGAAAATAATTTTGTTTCTTTCCACGAGAAACAAATACGAATTCGACGAATTCAATCCCGTGGCAATTTGGTTTCGAGTTGTCGACACTCGGTTAATACGCATAATAACTTTTTCCTTGCCTAAGAGCCGAAGTTTCTTACCTTTTCGACGATGAAAAAGCTCCTTTTGGTCTTTCGTCTTTGTTTCGCATTCGCACAAAAGAGAAACGCAAACGCGCAAAGTCAAACGAATTTTTCTTACGTAAATAAACCACGAACACGGTTCAGAATGAAGTTGGCTGGATAAACGTTCGACTAGCGACACTCGCGTGAAAAAACGGAATTACTTTCCTAACCGTTATTCGTTCGTGTATTCCTTTCTTTTCCTAATTCTTTTTCTTCGATCGGACCGTTGTTGAAATATCGATCGAAACGAGAATCACTCACGTTAGAAAAATTAAAAAAAACCTCGAGATGGAACGTATATAAATACATATTGGGAAGAGGGACTGCGTTTTAAAAGCTCGTAAAAGAGCAGCTCGCGAAGCGTATCGTATTCCAGGCACGTGTATTATTATCGATTGTCAACGCCACTCCGTAATAACCTTCGTAATAACTCCTGTCCTCTTTCAACGCTTCGATGTGTTGATTCTTTCGTATCCATTTTCGGATGAAATTCATTTATTACCCGTCACGGGAATAATCGTCTCGTAAATATACAAATTTGAAGAAGAGGCGTTCCTCTTCCAACGTTTACTTGGCGCAAATTTTCACGATCTCGTGAAATGGATCGAATATCGCAAACACTCGTTTCACCCTCTTTCGATTATCCTTCGATTATCGAAAGCGTATCTCTGCTTTCGTACCACGCGAATATTCGGGCGAGAAAGAGGAAAAAAAGGAACTAGGAGAGGAAGGGATCGGTGCCGATGCACCGTTGCCAGATCGACGCTCCGTGATTAAATCCGAATCGGATCGGAACGCAAATTCGCGGAAAAGCGATCGGCGGAAGGAGCGGCGCGTTTGAAAATCGGCGTGAACGTGGCAGCGGGCGATTCCGCCTTCGAATCGGAATTAAATCCTTACGTACTTTGCGCTTTGGGGAAAGTTTGCAGACAGCGCGGGCCAATTAAACCCTCTCTGCAATTCGATTCGCGAAGAGGGAGACACGCGTGATTGTCGAGTTTACTTTCGAGTTTCGTAAAGAGAACACGTGTAAATACGCCGTTCGAAACAATTAAGGGATCGCTGTTTCATTTTGAATTACTTCGCGGAACGAAGCATGGGTTACGAGACGGGGATGAGCGAGAGTTTGTTTGTTTGCCGCTATTAGACAGGGATTCTCGTATATATATCTACACACATATATATATATATATGTAGATATTCCTTTCGAATTTATCGTTTTATCGTCAAAGTAGAACGATCGTTCCCACAATTTTCCACGATTAACGCGTCTTTTGTATCTCGACGTGAAAATAATTTTCGATTTTGTTTTATCGAAATTAAAATTAACGATGCCCCGTTTCATGAAGAAAAAGATAAAACTGGTTAAAGGACTTGTTCGATTGTTTTGAAAACGCAAGCAATATAGATTTCCTTCCATGACGTATTATTATCGACGTTCGTTGCAAATTGTAGGTTTGCACCGCACAACTAATATCGCGATATCGATATTAATGATTAATTACGGTATGCTTCCGACTTATGAAACGGATGCTCGCGGAATTTTTAAAACGTAAAATTTCGATTTTAACCTGCATGTGTATTTCCCCGTTCCGTGAAATTTTAATACTTTTGACATACGCGCAAGATTGAAATGCAACTGTCATTTGTTCAAATGTAAATATTACGCCGTTATTCTTGATACGTGTATCGAGTTTAAAATAAAAACGGATAAATTAAACGTTGATTAAAAAAAAAAAAAAAAAGGTTACCATCTTAAAAATTTTACGAATCAATGCCTCCGGAATATATTTACACGTTCCAGAAATTTAATAGTCGCCTGAAAATTTATCAACATTTCGTGACCAGGAGCTAACGAGTTAATTCCATGAGTAACGTTAATCAACAACCCACTTAGATGGCAGATTAATCGACGTTACCTTTTCCATTATTGATTACAATTTTCCCTCGAGGAAACGCGAAAGTTCAACGCGATAAATTTCAATATTATTAAATCGCGCTCGTTGTTCCTCGTCGGTTTACAGAGAAATCAAAATTCTAAGATCTACAATAATTTTTGCGAAACTCTCATCACCAACGATTGTTCGAGGACGACGGAACATGCGAAGAGTCGAACAATCTGAATTTCTTCTCGGGCGTCTTATTGGGCCTCGAGTTGTCTTTTTCCCCCGTCTGTCTAGTTTTCGCGTGAAAAAGTGTTTGACGAATGGTTGTAGAGAGAGAGAGAGAGAGAGAGAGAGAGAAGATACGCAAAATACGGTAAATTTTCCCGGCCCGAGTCATCAATTTTCAAAGCGGAATATTTTTTTCCACGAGAGTGCTCCTTTTTTGTTTTTTTTAAATTTTATAAAAAAAGAAATATATATATATATATAATCTTATCGCATTATATCCTATTTTGTAAAACGTCACGAAAGATTTATTTTCGTGAACATTCCGCTTTTAAAAATTGATAAACGCCCCGTGAATTATGAAACCGTGAGTGTACGCATATCGATCCTTACCTACACCGAGTACGACCACCATTTCGTCTGACTGATATCAAGCCTTGTGTACAGGGGAGGAAGGGGTATACTCGAAAGGTACTTTGTTCGTAATTTACGCTTATCGAATGTTTTATCTTGAAAAAAAAAAGAAAATTTATCCATATTTACGTTTTCTCTTTTCTAAACTAAAGAGATGAAAATTTTCGTTAACAATCTCGTAACTTAGAAAGAAAGATCGAGATACGCTTGATAAACTCGCGTTGCGATAAACGTAAAAGATGAAGGGGAAAAAAAAAAAAAAAAGGGATAAATCGTGTTTATTACTGAAAGTTAACAAGTTAGCAAGCGAGTAAACGTAGATTATCGCGGTGGATGATCTCATACTTCGTCCATAGGAATCCATAGGAGGGTAAAAAATTCGGAAAGGAGGAAAAGCGTGTCACGCGGCCGCTTGAAATTCGAGCGATTTTAAGTATTTAAGCGCAGCTTTCTCTCGTGAAAGAAAAGAATAACGCGAATGGCCATTTAACATTTTCAACGACGCAAAGCGTTTATTGCTCGCCGGGACGTTTATTATCGATTAACCGTCGCGACACCGGAGTCGAATCGTCGATGATATCGAGGGACGCGGCACGTAATTGAGCCGTAGTTTGCCGAAGAAAGAGGAGAAGAGCAAAGCTTTTAATCGAGCTCGATTATCTCCCCCTAAATCGTTTCGAACACAAAGCCGTCTTGAACGCGATATTAATTCGCGGTATTTGGATTCGAGAGGATTTTCAATAATGGGAGGGGGGACGAATACGCATTTATGAATAAGATCAAAGAACGTTTATCCACGCGCAATATCCACAGCTTATCCTAGCCGAGAAACTTTTTAGTTTCCATTGACGGCCGCGTGGAGATGTCGCGTATTTATGCCGTTCGAGTATCGCGTCAGTTCTTTGTCGTGTCGTCGAACGATCCACGAGCACCGGTTATTGGTTTGTCGACGTTTTACGAGCTCTTCTCTCTCCTCCCTTCCAGACGAGAGGGGAGAGAGGCTTGTAAAGTGTTTTTATGATGCACGTTCCCGCGTCACGGCTCTTTTACAAGACACATTGTTGTCAACGGCCTTCGAAATTAAATTTCAGATTAAAAATCCGAGAGAGAGAGAGAGGAGGGTGCAGATGGCGCCGTGGTGGTACGCGCTAGTTCCTCTCAAATTTCACGGGATTCTCGCTTTTTTTTTTTTTCCCCCTCCCCCCCTCCCCTTTTCATTCGAACTTTCCCGCACGAAATTATGCAAATTCGAACTCGACAATTTCCCCGATGACCCTTAAAAAAAAAAAAAAAAAAAAAGAAAAATCATCCTTTCCTCTTCTTACGAATCATCTCATCCTCGTTACACGACGAGTAATTTTTTTTTATCGTGGAAAAACTTGATTTACAGATCCAAAGCTGGAGAGATGATCCGCGACTATCTGTTGCTGCTCTCGTGGCTGTGCGCTGTGCAAGGAAAAATAGGTAAATATCCGTGCGAATATACGTGAAATGCGGTGTGTCCGGCACACCGGTCTCGATTCCTTTTAATACGCGAACATTCGAAATTTTCACCTTTAATCGTGGACAAAAATAAATAAAAGTAATCTCATTCGGTTCATTAAAAAAAAAACAAAAAAGAAGAGGGAGAATAAATAATTCGACTTAAAAAGATTCGAGATATCGAATCGACGGGATCCAAGGATTAGATCTAACCTCGTCAAGGAGAGAGAGAGAGAGAGAGAGAGAGAGAGAGAGAGAGAGA